ACAAAACATTATACGCTTGTTTTTATTTTAAGTGCTAAAAAACTTTGGGATATCAAAAATTAAGTAAAAATACAATAGTGCTTGAACGAATGTAACTACTTGTATGTTTTTAAATTTTCAGCAATCTCTTTTAAAAATTTCTTCAACACCGGATACTTTTTTTGCAAATGCAGCTGCAAATTTACCTGTTTATACATACTTATCTATATAAATATTATAAATGTTTAAAATGATTGTCACACTATTACATATATATTCTGTAATTTCCTATATGTGCGTACTTACATATGTGACAACAATAAAGTGACTCGCTGCTAAATTTGCTTTTCGCTTTACTACTTTTAATGTTAAGTTAAAATGTTAAGTTTCCCCTGAAACTATTTAGCTATTTAGGTTGACTCGCAAAATAACGAGCGCATTTATTGGTTTCATACAATTTCTTTTAGTGAAAATATATGTATTTACTTGGGGGAAAAACGAATTTTTTTTAGGGGGCAATATATTTAGTTGGGGAAAATATGTTTCTTTCTTTTTATTAATTTTTTAACAACTTCAGTACTGTCTGATAGCCCTTATATGGATATATGAATAAAGGCCATTTCGGCTCCAAACAGTTTATCGTTCCGGTTCTCAGCGCACGTTGGATTCTGACTGATCTCTGCACAAGATGCTAAACAGGCAGCTGCAATCCCACTTGTGGCCTATGGCTAACGGCCGGACAGATTCTTTCTGTAAAATACGAGTACACTCAGAAAAAAGCGTTTCCTCAAAAGAAGAAACCTGTTTCCTTATTTTTGAGTTACAGTTTTTTCCTTAATATTACGAAAAATTTACTCAATTTGAGAAGTTTTTCCTTAACCCTTAATTAGGCGCATGGGGTCAAGGCCATTTCAAGTTGAAAAAAAAAAATTGGAGCGTGCTCGCGCTCTTTCTAGCTTCCTAACTCCCCGCGGGGTACGTAAATAAGTCACTTCCAGAACATCGGCGTGTACACATGTGTCGCTACTCTTTTATGTCCTGGAGGTAAGTATCTACGTTTGAAGTCAAAGTTATGTTTTTCTTTCTTAAAGTTAACTATAATAAAGAGCTTTAATATTTATGACCAGGGAACGGATTTTTAGGACCTAAAAACCTATAAAAAAGGCAAAATAAAACAACGAAATAGGCTGGAAAAGGCAAAATAAAATAGCGAAAAAGGCAGGAAAGGCTCTAGGTATTGCAAAAAAGGCAAAAAAGTCAAAACAAAATAGCGAAAAAGGCACCAGGTATTGCAAAAAAAGCAAAATAAGGCACTAAAAAAAGACAGAAAATACGAAGAACAATCAAAAAATACATTTATTTTAGAAATGTGTGTATAACAAGTAAAAAAGAGAAAAACTATGAACTAGTTTCATTATATGAAAAATTTGTACTTTGAATCTGTGACTATTTTATCCTTTCGAGTTTCTAACTCATAAAACTTTAATCTGTATAGTTGTAGTAACATTGAACCACAAGATGCATTTTGAAGTTTTCTGGCAGCATTTTCATTCGATTTTCGCGAAGAAAAGCTTTGAATGTACTAAATGTGCGCTCGACGCAAGTTGATACAAGTGGAGCACAATTTAAATATGGAACGTTTGAAACGCTCATATTATCAGGAATAAGGGCGTTTTCCTCGCCCTTTGCAATTTTATCCACACCCCTTGTCTCCAAGCCTACGTTAGCTGAGAAAACGGCTTTGAATTTTTCCAACACCAATTTGGCAAGAGGTCTCTGCGCTTCTATAAGCCGCATGGGCATGTGTATATTTTGTATTCTTTAAAAAAAAATGTGAATGCTATAATCGCTTTTTTAAAGGTAGAAAAGGCAAATATCTTAAAAAAGGCAAATATATTAAAAAAGGCAACATCAAATGTGTATATATGGAATCAGGGAAAGCTAAATCGTGGACATTCTTAATCGAATATACTCTATCTCTTTAGCAGAAAAAAGGCAATTTCCATAAAATCCGTTCCCTGTTTATGACAATGCACATTTCGTTTTATTTATTTAGTCACGGCTAGAACATCATCGCTACTCGTTTGAGTGCTGAACCCACGCGACCACTAACGTAACAAGTTTGAAGTCGAAAATATGTTTTTAATAATAATAATAATAGATAAGGTAACCAGAATTTTTTAACATTCCACGAGGAAAAATTCTCCACATTGAAAACACAAAACATTTTTTATATTTATTTTAACACATAAATTAATAATTCAAAGTTCCTCTAAGCATAAGTCAAACAAGTTAATAGTACATTGCGTTGCATGTTGCGTGTCTCACATGTGGTCCCATACTAATTTGGTTTAGATCTGATCATTGGATCATGAAAAAATTAACGGTAGTCCTAAATTTTTATATAAGAATTGAAGTCGATTGTGTTTTTTGCTTAAAAATTACTTTTTAAATTATTTAATAGTAATTGTATACATAAAGAAAAGAAATTGCTTTCGTTCTTCGTCTTTCGCCAAAGTTTGATTATAATTTTGTATCAACGCTATACCTCGTTCAGCAACATATTTAATACTTTTAATCGTCTCTAAGACAGCCAAGTTCAGGGTAATTTTTTAGAGAATTTAATACTCTACAAGAATATGCCTAGAAACACCTTTATCCCTTTTTTATAACTTTTCTTAACGGTTCAAAAGTTATAACATTTTTAATGAAAACAAGTTTTTACATAGAAAATTTCAAATGCCGACCGACAACTTTTAAAATTGAAATAAAAATGTTTTCAAATGGGAGAATTTCCTTCTTAGTAAATAGGTAATTTTAAGGCTATAAATTTGTCAGCTTAGTTATTTTGGATCACCCTAATATATATATAATATATATATACAAGCATTACTCGTTTACAGTAATAAGAATAAGTGGCAAATTTCCCGGATTTCGCATGGTAATTGGACTTGAATTACCCACAAATGAGGTAATTCGCTCTCTAAATTTAGTGTGGCGAATTACGTAATTCCAAGGGTAATAGGAGTGCGGATTACGAATGAGAGAACAAACTACGTAATTGGCGTGCATTGGGAAAGCCGTATTAAATATTATTGATTAAGGCTAAAATGCGTTTGCACTGTTCAACTTTCACAGGCGGTTAGTTGAATCAAAAGTTTACATCATTTAACTGAATTTTGAACAATGTAATCTCCTTTTGAATACAATGATTATGTTCGATTATGAAATAATAATATTCTGAACGAAATTTTTGGAAAAGTTTATCACTGCTATAAAACTTGAAAAGGAGGACAAGGAGGGCATTTTTGGTCAAAAGGAGGACAGAGAAGGACAATATTTTTGAGGAGGACAATCCTCCTCAAAGGAGGACGGTTGGTCAGCTTATACTTTAATATTTTTGATAATACACTCTTCGTTTTTTTATTTCGAAAACTCTTTTTTCAACACTTTTATTGGGGTCACTGGGGACCCCATGCGCCTAATTGTGTGATTTTCTTTATGCGCCTAATTAAGGGTTAAGTCAGGTTCATGCTAAAAATAGTGCATCAATAATTTGAGGAAGTAAATTTACTCAATATAAGTAATAATTTTGTCAGTGCTGTTAAGTCGAAGTTAATTTCTTTCCTGGCAAATGTCGGTTGTGGCGTCGCGTGAAGACTACTGTTTCTGGTTCTGAGATCGAAGGTTCAAGTCCGGTTGGAGGCGGTTGGATTAAGGTAAGTCATTATTTCAATTTCAATTAAATATAAATTACAAATTGCAAAAATAATTTCACATATGGAAAAACCTAAATACTCAAATACCATAATAAATAAATGAGAAAAATAACAAATGCAATTTAAAAAAATAAATGACATATTTAAAAACAAATTCCTGCTCTGGGACTCGAACCTTGCATCTCTCGACTAGCTCTACAGAGCTTTGCTCCGTCGGCCATTGCGACAGTTTGAGCGCCACGAGCAAAATGGCATATTTATTCCTTTCACGGCAAGTTAATTTTTCCTAAGAAGAAAGTACTGAAAACCAAGGAATTGTTTTTCCTTAAACTAAGTCAAACCGTTTACTCATATTAAGGCAGCCATGTCTTTGGAGCCATTTCAAGGTAATATTGCCTTAGAATAATATACCTTTTCCTAGCATCAAAGAATGTTTTTTCTGAGTGTACATATTTCGCGACATACAATGTGATTTCAGTGGCAGCGAGTATCTGCCATGGTCAAAATCTTTATAAAGTTTGGAAGAGCTATATTTATTATTATTTCTATTTTTATAATTTACTCAAAAAAAAAAAATTAGCTCTCACATTTTCGTTAAATTCATGGCTGAGGTTTTTGCTCTTTGTGTTGTGCGTCTTGATGTTGGGACCTACAGTTGTAAGCCGACTCCGAACGGCAAATGACTTCCATGAGAATTTTTTTTGAGGAAGTTTGCCATTGTCTGCCAAGCGGCGGCCACTATTATAAACAAAAACTTGTTTTCAATGTTGCTCGAACCAGAAATCGAAACAAAGCCCTCCGGGTGAAAGTACGCATGGCTATGGCGGCCGCCAAAGCAAACAAAGTTCAATAAATTATAATATACTACTTAAATCATTTAACTTCACCTTAAATCGTAACGATTTCCGCTTGTTTGGAAAAGTCGCCGCCTACGTCACTTTGTTGTTGTTATATATGATACAGAAAGTTTGTGTATGTATATTTTCTGCAGAAAATTTTGTGTTTAAAGCTTCAATATTTTACTAAATATATAAATATAATTAAATTTAATTATACATATGTATGTTTGTGTGTGTATATCCACGTCTATTTAAATAAGATCAAATATTGAAACCAATTTGAACGCCTTCTACATGCATTCATTTCAATGCTTCGTTAAATCTCTAACACACACACTTTCACCAAACTATATCCATTGCGCCACTGAATGCATTGTCGGCAACGCCAAACTCATCTTAACTTTAAACGAACAAATACCATCCCAACAAACCCATTCCGAAACAAACGATCAACAACTTTTAGCGAATGTCACAATTCTTCGGACCGGATAAAGGTTCGCGTTTGGGATGAAGACAACGACTTGAAATCGAAATTGCGTCAGAAGCTAACTCGCGAATCGGACGACTTTTTGGGTCAAACCATAATTGAAGTACGCACACTGTCGGGCGAAATGGACGTTTGGTACAATTTGGAGAAGCGTACGGACAAATCAGCGGTATCTGGAGCTATACGCCTGCATATCTCGGTCGAAATAAAGGGCGAGGAGAAAGTCGCACCCTACCATGTACAGTACACATGCCTGCATGAAAATCTTTTTCACTATTTATGCGAAGAAAATGGAGGAATGGTGAGTATCCAAAAACTCTTTAACTACTGTTATCGAATAATACAGCAACTTCGCTTCTTTTGGAATCTTGAGTTGGCGAGTACGCACTTCATTTTTGTTCATAGCAGATCGATGTACTTTTTTACGAAAACCGAATAGTCTATTGTAAACCAATTGGGTCCGGCTCTTAAAAAATTTCATCTCTCAATAAGAGAGTAAAGTCAAGGCAGTTGACGAAAGCGAAAAATCACAATTAGATCCGAGAACGAGAAATCAGGTGATTCTCTTGCTTTATGCTACAGTTGTCCCATAAAGAGAGGAATTTCTATGTATTTCATGGAAGCAAAACGTATTTAACAAAGTGTGAATGAATTTGATATTGGTCTCACAAAAAATGTGATACATATACTGTTAATTTCAAAAAAAACGTTCGTTTGTTTATATTTTTTTAAATAATATTCTTTTAAAGAGAGCTGCACTGAGTTGTTCACCATATATTTTTTAATACACCTTGATGGAAGCCAACTATCTTATTTGCTTTCGAGATCTAGAACTAGCAATGTTCTCTAACTTTCAGTTGTTGTTAGAGGGAAAATTGCTTGTTCAATTCACAGCTTTTCTTCGTTTTACAAATTCGACTTTAAAACACTACCCGTCAATCACTATTCGACGAAAATGTTAAACATGGATAAAAGTTGATTTTCAGTTTGACACTTTGTCTATTTCTGTTCACACACTTATGTACAAACAAAATTTGCCGCTTCCATTTGCCTTTCATGTTTGGCCAAACTTTATTCTCCAATTTGTGGTTGTGCGTCTTGATGTTGCAACCAAAATGAAGCGGCATACATACATATGTACATACAATTTTACGCCACCTCCGAACGTCAGATGGTTTTCCATGAGAAGCTTTTTCTTGGCAGAAGTAAATACATTGGATTTTGGCTATTTCCTGCTGAGGAGCGACCGCTATTAGAAAAAACTGTTTCTATAATTTATGGTCGTTTCCCGAGTCAGTGATTTAAATAGGGCCCTATCAAGTGGAAGTATGCACTTCGAAAAACTCGGCTACTAAACAAGCTCAAAAACGGCGGCCGGACTAGGGATGGGTAAATTCGATATTCGAAGCTTCGATATTCGAATTTTAATCGAATTTTGGGGCTAAAATTCAGATAACATCGAATTTTTCTAGAAAAAAAATCGAGTTTCGTCTTTGCACCTTTTTTAAAAAGCACCTCTGCAACTTTCTTTTTACTGATTAAATTTGGCATCACTATGTGTGGCACCACATTTTCCTTAGGAATAATATGTAATATTGGCGCTTCCACATATGGGCATATCCCAAAAAACTTCAATTTTTATCGCGTCAAAACCTTTTTTATTTGCTTGTATCCTTGCACTTAGCTGTTTATACTTCCAAAAATTTTTGTTGTATATAGCACCTTCCCAGTGCCTTGTAACATTTGTGATATACATACGATCTTTCAGTTTCCTTCCTATTTTAAGCTTAGTTACGCGTGCGAATGTCGCGTCCGTAACCCAGGAAATGCCCATATGTATGTTAGTCTTTGGTCGAGCTTCTCCTCAACAAGTAGATTCTCTATGTGCATTACACAATGAAAAACGAGTATTTTACTTGCCTTCCGTTTTATATATATATATATATATATATTTTTTTTTTTTAAATTTAAATGGAAAATGATTTTTTTCTTTCAATTTCCATATAAAATTCAAAAAATTAAAATCATTTTTCACTTAAATTGCTTTCGTGAAATTGGCTGTAAAAGCTCGTTATAAAATGATACCCAAAACATATTTTTTTAAACAATTCTTGAAATTTTTATTTCTGAAGTAAAAAAACACTTTTTTTTCAAAGAATATAGTAGCTTCAATTTGAAAGAAAACGTCCCAATCACAGTTGACGTAAATGGGAGTAATGAAAAATAAGAAGTGGAACTACCTTTAAATATTTGTATCATGATTCTTACCAACAAACTTTTAAATTTTCAGTAAAAAATGTTGAAAATTCGAAAAGATCCGAATTCAATCGAATTTGCACCACCAAATTTCGAATCGAATAATCTAATGGTTGGGCAATGTTCAATATTCGGAAAAATCGAACTTCAACCCTCAAATACCCGTCCCTAGGCCGGGCACTTCAATGATCACTGAACCGAAGAAGTCGCTACAGATGGAACTTTTTTTTTAATTATGAATACATTTAAGCGGCTGTGGTTCATGAAACATTTACAAGCAGAAACTATGGATGGATGGCATGGGTTGCCCACGTTGCCTAGAGTGCGCGAAGGAGGACGCAAGAGTCGGGATTAAGTATAACCGTGCAACTGTAACTGCATACCCAGCACAACGACTATACCCCATTGCACTCCACATATACATAAATATCGTTCGCTTAATTCACAAAGGCCATTACCAAAACTTTTTTCGAAACTGTGTTTTTCACAGATTTTGGAAGGATGTATTAAAATACATCCAAGAACAATACATACACGAACAACGGAACTACATGCCATTTTTTAAAAAGCCCTACCTTTTTATGCTCTTTTTATAATGTTTTTTGCTTCTTCTGTAAAATAAAAAAATTGTTGGTTTTGGCCTTTGTGAATTAAGGTAACTACTATATTATATCGTCATATTAGGCTCTAAATTTACTATGACCTTCAAGATCTCTTTCAGGGAATAAAAGTTAAACAATTCCGAACACAATTTGTTTGCATTCCTATCAGTGTGCAAACCCCTTTTTATTTTAGTGTGGTAGAATCAGCAAAAAAATGTGGTAGATTTGAGCAAGATGCGGTAGATTTTCTAATTTATATTTTTAATGGGTGTATAATAGGGTGGTCCAAAAACAGTAAAGTCGGAATTGTAATGCTCTCACCCCCTAGGATTGTTCTATATCGAAAAAAAAGTATACTCCTATTTTTTATTTTGAAATCAATAAATATTTAGAGGTCGCTCACAGCGCTCAAAGTTTGCCATGTATTTTTATATGGGAAAAATTACTTTTTTCCTAGAAATGGTATAGAATTGTTGGAAGTCAAAATTTTTCGATCGAATTCCGACTTTACTTTTTCACATGCATTTTGGACCACCCTAGTGTATACACAAAGTTTGTAATTAAGAATTAAGTATTTGGGCGTGTTTAGCCCGACTTAAAATGTCTACAGCTCCTACTAGCAACTAATTTTATTAAGTTGACAAAATGTACGATCCTTTAATAAACTTTTATTTTTGCGTGTGTATAATTAAACTATAAAGCGGAACAAATACATACATAACTCTTTTCCATTGCATAATACTTTAGCAAATAGAATTAAGCGGATTTTTGGAATCTTAAAGAGTTTAAGCACAGATATATTTAAAGCCAAATTCATGATACATATACATTTTCAAAAAGGTATTGATTAATTTTTATATTTTTTAATTATAATTGAATTGCAAGTTAAGAGTTATGTGAAAATTTTACACAAATTTTCTAACCAAATATGTGGTAGATTTTAACCTTTGTGTGGTAGTGTGGTAGAAACCCAAATTTTTAAAAATATGTGGTAGATCTACCACATATGTGGTAGAGGTTTGCACACTGATTCCTATACTTTTGTGTCTCTCTCACCGGCCTGTGGGAACAATTCATAATTTATTTTAATGAAAAAATTATGACCTACGAGCTCACTACACCTTTTGCTGTGCTCTAGGTTAAACTGCCTCAACAAAAAGGTGACGATGCTTGGAAACTATATTTTGATGAAATTCCGGAGGAGATCGCTGACGAATTCGCGATGCGCTATGGAATTGAAAACATCTACCAGGCCATGACCCACTTCCACTGTCTATCCACTAAGTATTTATGCCCTGGAGTTCCTGCCGTGATGAGCACATTACTAGCAAATATTAATGCCTACTACGCGCACACGACAGCGTCATCGGCCGTATCCGCGAGTGATCGTTTTGCTGCAAGTAATTTTGGAGTAAGTTTGGATATCTCCAGGCGAAACCTATAGATAGTAGATACACCCATTAGTTTATGACTGTAGTAAACTAATTTCTTTACTCTTTTCATAGAAAGAGAAATTTGTGAAATTATTGGACCAATTACACAATTCGCTTCGCATCGACCTCTCCATGTATCGTAATAATTTCCCGGCGTCTAGTCAGGAGAAACTAATGGATCTTAAGTCAACGGTGGATTTACTGACCAGTATCACATTTTTTCGCATGAAGGTAACCGCATATTTTTGGGCGGTCCATTAACATACAAAAAATACCTTCTACATTCTGTGCTGCAGGTCCAAGAACTATCTAGTCCGCCACGAGCGAGTACAGTGGTCAAAGATTGCGTAAAAGCTTGCCTTAGATCCACCTATCAATTCCTCTTCGAGAATTGTTATGAACTGTATAATAGGGAATTTCAGGTAATGTTGTTTTCGATCGCAAGCTATTGTGTTAAATTGCCAAAATTCTGTGTCGCATAAAGGTGGATCCAAACGAAGCAAAACGTGACTCTGACGACCACGGTCCAAAATTGGATAATGTTGATTTTTGGCATAAGTTGATCGCGTTGATCGTGTCTGTCATCGACGAGGATAAAAATAGCTATGGCACTGTTTTGAATCAATTCCCACAGGAATTGAATATCGGGCAGGTACGCAAATTATAGTAAAATAAATCTAGTTATAAAACTAAATATAAAATGTATTAAAGCTTAAGTTCTGAGATCCGATGTTAAGTAAATTATACTCCCAAAAGCATTATATGTCTTTCCGAAGAATCGAGCCTCTGGCCCAAACACACAATATTTCCTGTGCAATCAATTTATTACATTCTTTTTCAACGATTAGGCGTAGATGTAGTAAAATTTATGTATGAGTTAACTTTAAGGTCGGGCTTGTTAACAATTACACTTGAAATGATTGCTCTACCAGACTATTAAACGTACTAATCGTTTGCTCATTAGCTGTCAGCTGCGACGATGTGGAGTCTATTCGCGGTCGATATGAAGTACGCGTTAGAAGAGCATGAGCAGCATCGTCTTTGCAAATCTTCGGCTTATATGAATCTGCATTTTCGCGTGAAATGGCTTTACAGTAATTATGTAAAGGAGGTGCCTCCGTATAAGGGAGCTGTTCCCGAATATCCCGCCTGGTTTGAGCCATTCGTCATGCAATGGTTAAACGAGAATGACGATGTATCTTTAGAATATCTACATGGCGCATTCAACCGTGATAAGAAGGATGGGGTTAGTATAAGCAAGATCTTAGCATGTATGCCTTTATATCGACGCATAACATTTTATCCACAGTTCCAAAAGAGCAGTGAACATGCCTTATTTTCAAACTCCGTTGTTGATGTATTTACGCAATTGACGCAGTGTTTCGATGTTGTTAGCAAACTCGAGTGTCCGGATCCAGAAATCTGGAAGCGTTACATGAGACGTTTTGCCAAAACAATCGTAAAAGTTCTGATCGCATACGCGGATATCGTCAAGAGGGAATTTCCGGAGCACATGAAAGATGAGAGAATTGTATGTAGTATACTGGCAGCTTGCATCGAGTGTAATGTTTAGATAAATTTCACCATATTCCTTTCACTAATCTCAATAGGCGTGCATACTTATGAACAATATACAACAACTGAGAGTGCAATTGGAGAAAATGTTTGAATCAATGGGAGGTGATAAATTAGAGGAAGACGCCGCGAATATTCTGAAGGAATTGCAGCAGAATCTGAACTCGGCGTTGGACGATTTGGCATCTCAATTTGCTATTAGGTAAGAAGTTAATATTCAATCAAGAACTTCAAAAATACGTAAATTAGGGCGGGTACATTTTTTTTCGACATCGTTCCTAGCAGATTCGGATTCTACACAGAATTCTAAGAAAAAAAGTCCTTTATACCATAGCTCTAAAATCAATTTCGAGCCTGCGCAATTTTAAAAGAAAATATCTTTAATTAATACTAAGTCAATAATCAGATTAATATCTACTAAAGTGTTACGATTTTTTTTTTAATAAAAACTTGTGCTCCAGAGTAATGTGATATGAAAAATTCATTGATATCTACTTTTTATTTAAAAAAAAACCGCAAGATGGCGCTTCAAAGCAAATTCTCTACTATATTTATGTATATAAATGAGTTTGTAGAAGGGGGCGTGGCACATCTCATAGTTGTGGAATCTTTTATCAGCTATAACAGCAGGCAGTATTAGTGATCTCATTGAATTGCATTTTGAAGATTTGTTATAATTGATCAAAGTGAAATTCAAATAAATTGCAGATGATATGAAATTCGCCGGGTCATCTTCTAGTCTTTAATAAATAATAAGTTAATATCTTCTTCTTCTTCTTTATTGGCGCTGTAACCGCCTAAGCGATTTTGGCCGGGTCCAAAACAGCGCGCCAGTCATTTCTCTTCTGTGCTAACTGACGCCAATTGGAAATGCCAAGTGAAGCCAAGTCCTTCTCCACCTGGTCTTTCCAACGCAAAGGAGGCTTTCCTCTTCCTCTGTTACCAGCATCGCGGCCCGCGTTGAATATTTTCAGAGCAGGGGCGTTTCTGTCCATTCGAACGACATGGCCAAGGCAGCGGAGCCGCTGGATTTTAATTCGCTGCACTATGTCTATATCGTTAAATCGTATGCGATATTCGCCATCACCAACGCGTAAAGGCCCGAAAATTTTTCGCAGAATCTTTCTCTCGAAAACTCCAAGAGCCGCCTCATCAGATGCTTTCATTGTCCATGCCTCCGGGCCATACACCAGCACAGGCATGATGAGTGACTTATAGAGTGTGATCTTTGTACGACGAGAGAGGACTTTACTTCTCAATTGCCTACTCTGCCCAAAGTAGCACTTATTGGCAAGAGTTATTCTCCGTTGTATTTCAAGGCTGACATTGTTATTGGTGTTAATGCTGGTTCCTAAATAAACGAAGTCGTCTACTTTTTCAAACTTGTAACTGTCAACAGTGACGTGGGTGCCAAGACGCGTATGCTCTGACTGTTTGTGTGATGACAGGAGATACTTCGTTTTGTCCTCGTTCACCACCAGACCCATTCGCTTTGCTTCTCTATCCAATCCCGAGAAGGCAGAACAGACGTAGCCCTTGCTTTTACCGATAATATCGATGTCGTCAGCATACGCCAGCAATTGTACGCTCTTGTAAAGTATTGTGCCTGAGCGGTTCAGTTCTGCGGCTCTTATTATCTTCTCCAACATCAGTTAAAAGAAATCAAACGAAAGGGAGTCCCCTTGTTTGAAACCTCGTTTGGTATCAAACGGCTCGGAGAGGCCCTTCGCTATTCTGACGGAGCTGGTGGTATTGCTCAACGTCATTTTACACAGCCGTATTAGTTTCGCGGGGATACCAAATTCAGACATAGTGGCATAAAGGCAACTTCTCTTCGCGCTGTCGAAAGCGGCTTTGAAATCGACAAATAGATGGTGTGTGTCTATCCTGTTCTCGCGGGTCTTTTCCAAGATTTGGCGTATTCTGAATACCTGATCTATGGTGGATGTTCCAGGCCTAAAGCCACACTGATAAAGTCCAATCAGCTCGTTGACGGTGGGCTTCAGTGTTTCGCACAATACACTCGATAAGACCTTATAACCTATGCTTAGAAGGCTGATTCCGCGGTAGTTGGCGCGTATAGCGGGGTCGCCTTTCTTATGGATTGGGCAGAGCACACTTAAATTCCAGTCGTCGGACATGCGTTTATCTGACCATATTCTGCATACGAGCTGATACATGCACCTCATCAGCTCCTCGCCGCCGTACTTGAATAGCTCGGCTGGCAGGCCGTCAGCTCCAGCAGCTTTGTTGTTTTTCAGCCGCGTAATCGCTATTCGTACCTCGTCACAGTCAGGCGGTGGGACAGCTACTCCATCATCATCGACTGGGGACTCGGGTTCGTCTTCTTCACTACTTTCAGCGCTGCTACCATTCGGTAGGTTGCAAAAGTGTTCCCTCCACAATTTAAGTATATTCTGGACATCGGTCACTAGGTCGCCATTATTGTTCTTACAGGAGTTCGCCCCGGTCATGAAACCTTCCGTAAGTCGCCTAACCTTCGGGTAGAATTTTCGGGCGTTCTTCCTGTCGGCCAGCATCTCAAGCTCTTCGCACTCACGTATTTCGGCCTCTCTATAACGGTCCCACATGGCTCGCGTTGCGCCCGATCGCAGCGTGGCCCTGTAGGCGGCATCTTTTTTCTCTGCGGCTTCTTGACATTCCTCATCGTACCAGTTGTTCTTTCGGGCTCGCTGAAATCCAGCTACTTCTTCGGCGGCGGTACTTAATGATCGGGAAATGTGGATCCACTGCTCGCGTATGTCGGATTGTTGAAGAGTGCTCTCAGAGAGCAGGTGTGTGAGTCGAGTGGCGAATAAATTGGCCGTCTGTTGTGATTGCTGCTTTTCGACGTTAAGCTTTCCTTGCATTGTTGGGCGCACATTTTTTTCTGTACAGAGGCGGGTGAGTACCTTGGCTACAACAAGATAGTGGTCCGAGTCGATGTTAGGCCCTCGGAGTGTACGCACGTCTAAAACGCTTGTGCATGCCTTCCGTCTATCACAACATGATCGATTTGGTTTCTCGTTTTCCGATCTGGAGACAGCCATGTAGCTTGGTGGATGTTCTTATGCTGGAACCTAGTACTACATATTACCATGTTTCGCTCCCCGGCGAAGTCGATCAGCCTCAGTCCGTTATCGGACGTTTCGTCGTGGAGGCTGAATTTTCCGACAGTGGCGCCAAAGATCCCTTCCTTGCTCACCTTGGCATTAAAATCGCCAAGCACGATTTTGACATCGTGTCGGGGGCAGCGCTCATATATACGTTTCAAGCGCTCATAGAAGAGATCCTTGGACGCCTCATCCTCCTCTTCCGTCGGGGCATGGGATGGATGAGCGAGATGTTGAAGAATCTAGCTTTGATGCGGATTGTGGCTAGACGTTCGTCAACCGGGGTGAACGCCAGTACTCGGCGATGGAGTCTCTCTCATACCACGAATCCAACACGGAATTTGCGCTCCTTTACGTGGCAACTGTAGTAGACGTCGCAAGGCTTCGCGCTTACTTTTCCTTGCCCCGTCCATCGCATTTCTTGGATGGTGGTGATTTCAGCTTTGTCTTTCCGAGGACATCAACCAGCGGGGCAGAGGCACCTTCCCCATTAAGGGTCCGGATATTCCAGGTGCATACCCTTAAATCATAGTCCTTTATACGTTTGCCGTGGTCGTCATCAGAAAAAGGGGGTCTCATCCGAGGCTGTTTTTTTATTTTCATTGGGCGGGGTTTTAACGTGGCGGGACCCAAACCCAGCGCACGCGAAGTTTTACGCCTTCTCACTTTAGCTCGCTCCCAAACGGGTCTTTGGTTGCTACCCAGAGGATACGTGGATATAAATATCCGGACGTTGTGAGCTGCGATTTGAACCGTACGCACAAGAATCGCTTCTGGCCACCCCCAGGTGAATGGCAGTCAAAAGTTTTCCACTTCTGCGCACGGAACCATCCTCCGGATTATGCGGATTAATATTTACTAAAGTGTTACGAACGTTATTTTTTTAATACAATAGGAAAAATATAACTATACTTTAAAGGAGTCACACACAATGGCTAGAGTCGTCGCATGTATGTATTCTTTCATATACATATATATGAGCCGTTCTTACTGTTATATATTTTTCATTCACTCGCTTATTCCTTACTGAAAATTTTAAATAAAAATTTAACAAGTTTGAACCGCTGATACACTACAGGTAGCAGTTTAAAATGGGTAACTGGGTAAACTTAATAAAGAAAACATTTGATTTTTATGTGTTTTGGTGTAGTATGAACTATGTTTTTATAGAAAACTAGCAGACCCTGCGAACTTCGTCCCGCCCAAAATTAATTTTTTTATTGAAACATTTGGTCCAACGTTCACGTTCAAAGCGTTATACCGGGAAGAAGTCCTTGCGGCGCGATAGTGAATCGTCCTTGAATCTGTAAAGTATATTTGGTGGCAATTTCTAAACTGGTGAGTATCATTGGTCCATATTCTGTTTAGTCACCGTAAAGCAAGGACCGCAATGGTTCTGATTTCTGATTTAACGGAAATCAACGGTAACTTATAGCCATTTAAAATTTGCACTTTATGATACTAAAACTGGGTGAACTACAAAACTGCATACTCAATTTGGTGCCATTTGATGTAAATTGAACTATAAAAAAAAAAAATAACGAAAAAATGTATTATGAAAAAAACACTGTATTTTGGGTGTATATATACAGATAGGTAAAAGTTTCAATATGTTCGGAAAGCGCCACGTCCCTTTTCCAGTAGCCCCAAAATCTCTATACCAATTTCCAGGACACTACCGCAAATACTTTCAGAGATATAGGGTATGAAAAATTCGATATGTATGCGTGATGTCACGCTCCCTTAATATATCGAAAGTCTGCAGTAGGTGTCCAAAATTTAAGAAAATCAGTACAGGCGTTCGCGAGATCACCTCTTATAAAAAGAAGGAGCTTCTCTTTATATAATTAGTGTAGGTAACATAGAGCAACACCGATTTTGATGCGGCAAATGTTGAAGCTGTGTTTGATAGGCTTTTTTGTGCTGGTTATGAATCCGTAAGTATAAAGTTTTCATCAGCTCCAGATTTGAGAAGTTTTAGTAATGAAACAAAAGGTTATAGAACCTTCCACTTAGGCTTAAATTAAAGCTAGAACTACAGACTACTATCCCTGAAAGTACTATTCCTGCACCTTGCCCTGATGGTAAC